TTATACAATACTCGTATATATTTGCCGCCAAAACGTATAAAAATTTCATGACCCTCTCTAGAGGGAGAGAGAGAAGAAAGAAAGTATGCCTGAACGGACTATAAACGCCCGTAGGACGCAAAATTTTATAACCCCCGCTCTCTCAATAAATACTCTCTCTAGCTCTACTATTTTTTTTAAATAGAGAGAGAGTAGAGAGTCTGATGACTCCAGTACATAGAACGTTGAAATTTTTCTTTAATATATATTTTAGGGGCGTGCTATTTTAAAATTTTAGTAGGCACTGAAATCTTGAAATCCTGTTTTTTTTTTTAGTACGCATTGTCAGTTCTATCGTATATAAACTTTAAAACTCCCAATAGAGATTTGCAAACTTTTTTGGGGAGTGTCAGACACACAGTCGGACCGGAGATCTGGATTGTTTGACTGGGGGAGACTCAATGGCTCATGCCTTCTTGTGAAGTTGTGTGTGAAGTTTATATGACTGCGGCAGTGCGTGCCTGCGTGGGCAGTGTAGGTTTTAGCCTTGGTGTAGGATCTTGAGTTCTCGATCAACCAAATCTCCCGAAATGAAGGTGCCCAATCAGAACACCGAAGGTCTTTGTAGAGGAATTCACTAACATCATCAGTAAAAATGTCAAAAATATATATGCAGCCTGGAGCAGTGTCGGCGGAATGTATTAGATTGTATGAAACAAGTGTATTATGGTGCCAGATATAATATATATAGTGCATCATAGACTGAACATACGATAGTAAATTAAACAGATTGCCGTCACATTCCACGGTGGAGTTTGGTATCTATTTAACAGATAGTTACTGCTGACGATATTGAACATATTCGTCTCAATACAAGTCCAATTTAGAAGGACGTTTTTCCGCGACCTCGTTCCGTTTGAAATTGTGGTGATAGTACGTTAGCTGCCACCACACTGAGTGGATTTACCAGAACAGCCCTAAGTTAGCAAACGGTATGATGTCATTTTTTAGCCCTGTTTCCCACCGCCA